AAAAGGCTCCAGGACGGCTCCATGATAGCCCAAGAGAGCCTGAGGTGGCCCCAAGAGGCTGCGAGAGAGTCTAAGTGACCCTGCGAAGGCCTACATGGCCCCAAAACGGTCCCAGCCAGGACGTGCAAAGTTGGGAAGACAGCTTATTAAATGGTGACGTGTGGTGTGCCGGGTGGAACACGTCCACCGCGCTGGCGCCCAGCATGTCTTGGCTTCCCCTACCCGTTGCGCCCTCTTTGTCCATGTCGCACGATGCAGAACACTCGCGCGCCTACTTCCACGGATACCGATGCTGTACACGCTGGCTTTCCAGCGTGGGCGGCCGCCATGCTTGTGGAACCCGCTCCCGCTTACCGAAGAGCCCCTCTGCATTTTGCAGAAGCGCATGGTTAGTGGCACTTTGCCGTCGCAGGGATGAGTATTTCTTTGGGAGCTCTCTGACAATACGCTCCTTGATTTTGTGATTCTCCCCAGCGCATAGCAGGCGAAGAAACACCCATGAATCGATTGATGTTGCGCGCCGAGTGGACCATGTCCACCGCGTCGCCAGCGAATGAAATTAATTTCGCGCGTTGCATGCCGAGTGGAGTACGTCCACCGCGCCCGCATCAGCTCTTCTGCCACGTGGAATGTGCTTACATCGGTTCGCCAAAAGGGGACCAGACTGATAGGGAATGAGAAGGCTTCTCGAGAGGATAATCCAGGCTTACGGGCGATTGGGGTTCACGGCATAGCATCCGTGGGGACAGAGGGAGGGTACCATTTGTTGATTGACCATGATTGGTCGAAGTCTTTCTGAACTCCGATGTTGCAAACACTAGATATTCGCCACATATTTCTAGAACCACAGCGCGCGCACAGCGCGCGCATGGTTCCAGTAAGACTAACTATGACTGTTTGTATAGGACTCGCTCTGCTCCAAAAATAGGAGCCTGTCAAGAGCTTTTCGGGAGTCGTCTCAAGCACCCTTTTTGGACCCTCCCAGGATCTTCCCACTATATTCCAATACCTTCCCATGAGCCTTTGAAGGCACTCTCGGGGCCCTCGTGAGCTTCTCAAAAACGTTCCCAAGAGCTTCTCAAGAGCTCAGCAGCCTCCCACGGCCCTCCACATAGCCTCTCAAAAGCTCCTCGGGAGCCCAGACGACACCGAGATAATGACAGTCCTTTCTCAAAATGCGACCCACAGGACCGACCTGGGTTGCTTTATGGCCAGGGTTCCGAAGCGGATCCAGACGTTGCAACGCGCGCACCCCCCCGACCCAAGGTTCCTCCTTTTTCCCCCCCTGAGAGTCTGGGGCGGGCGGACCCTGACGGGCGGGCCAGGCGGGACATGATAGGATATTGTTTTTGGAGGGCTTGGCGATAACCGGGGTCATCGGGCCCGCCCCCCCCCCTCTTTCCCCCGGGATAAGGTGTCAGCTGCGCAGGTCTGGAGGGTTACGCAGTGGCGACGCGCGCGCGGGCATACGTGGGGATCCCCCACAGCGTAAAGGTTAGGTGATCGGCCGACACTTGCCTCCCCCTTTCTGGATAATCTGCAAATGACCCGACCATGTGCGGGTACGAGTACTGCAAGGCAGGCGGGACGAACGTGAGGTAACGAATTGTGTGAGGGGTGTGCCGAATCGGGTGCGGTGCCGCCATGCGAACGCAGCCAGTGCGGCCTTCGGTGGAGCTCCCGATGGGGCCACGAAGCATGCTAGAGGTGTACCGATTCGGCGGCGGGGGCGCTATGTGAACGCAGTCGTAGCCACTGGGCCCTTCGGTGGAGCTCCCTCGGTGACCACGAAGTGTGTGAGGGGTGTGCCGAATCAGGAGCGGGACCGCCATTCGAGCGCAGCCACTGGGGCCTTCCGTGGAGTTTCCCTTTGGGCCACCGAGTGTGTGAGGAGCGTGCCGATTTTGGCGCGCAGAGGAAAGAGGCAAGGGTGGGAGGAGAGGAGGAGGAGGCGGAGGAGGAAGACCAGTGCAAAACCAAGGTTCAAGCGATTTCGGGATAAACCCTCCCTACGAGCCCCCTCTTCACATGCCCTTACAAGGATTCATTTCCACTGGGGGGAGTGCCCTGTTGGGAGACAATCGTTTGAAGATCATGAAGCGCGCCAACATGTTCGGGACTCCAACGCCACGAATCGTTCTGACTGTTGCGTCTTGACGATCCAGAATTGTCCCAGAACAGCATTCTTCGAATTTCAACACCGCGAATCAGCGTAACTGTTGCGTCTGAAGCGATTGTGAGCGACACGAAGGCGAGAGCCATATTTTGAAAAGGAAGCGCCCTCAATCCGCGAAGTCATTGCAAAAGTTGAAGGCGAGTGCTCGCGCGGCGCTGAGACGAAAGCCACATTTTGAAAACGGCCCGCCGCAAATCTGTGAACTCTAATATGCTTGTAAGACGAATTTGCGCGGCACTAAGGCGAGAACCATTTTGGAAATGGCCCACCCTCAATCTGTAAAACGGTTGCCAGTTTTTACGGTTCAGGGTGATAGGTGGAGAGGAAATCTCCAGCGAAACGCCCGGCCCGCCTGATCGACCAGCCTCGGGGTGCGACAGGGAGGAGTTATTTATACAGACAAGAAATGGCGGATGAGGCGGAGGAAGAGGAGGAGCGGGAGGAGCGGGAGGAGGAAGGAGGAGGAGGGGGAGGAGGAGGAGGAGGAGGAGGAGGAGGAGGAGGAGGAGGAGGAGGAGGAGGAGGGGAGAGGAGAGGAGAGGGGAGAGGAGAGGAGAAGAGGAGAGGAGGACGCGAGGCGCTGTCTCTTCAAAACGAGGACCCAACACCACAGGATGGTTTGGACAAGCGATGTCCAGCGGGCCTGCTGGTCGGGGCGTGTGGTTTATCGACGGTGGCCCGCGCCGGGGTGCGCCGCAGGTTGGGCGCAGACGACGCCGCCGTGAAGAAGCAGATGGGGGCTACGAGACGTGTGAAGGTTGTGCCAAATCGGGTTCGGGTACGCCCTGCGAACACAGCCTCTTGGGCCTTCGGGGAAGCTTCCTCTGGGGCCACGAGACGTGTGAGGGTGGTGCTGCATGGGGTGCGGGTACGCCATGCGAATGCAAGCACTTGGGCCTTCGAGGGAGCTCTCTCCGGGGCAACGAAGCATGTGAGGGGTGTGCCGCATCGGGCGCAGGTACGCCATGCGAACGCAGCCTCTGGGGCTTTCGGGGGAGTTTCCCTCTGGGGCCACGGAACGTGTGAGGGTGGTGCTGCATGGGGTGCGGGTACGCCATGCGAACGCAAGCACTTGGGCCTTCGAGGGAGCTCTCTCCGGGGCCACGAAGCATGTGAGGGGTGTGCCGCATCGGGCGCGGGTACGCCATGCGAACGCAGCCTCTGGGGCTTTCGGGGGAGTTTCCCTCTGGGGCCACGGAACGTGTGAGGGTGGTGCTGCATGGGGTGCGGGTACGCCATGCGAACGCAAGCACTTGGGCCTTCGAGGGAGCTCTCTCCGGGGCCACGAAGCATGTGAGGGGTGTGCCGCATCGGGCGCGGGTACGCCATGCGAACGCAGCCTCTAGGGCTTTCGGGGGAGTTTCCCTCTGGGGCCACGAAACGTGTGAGGGGTGTGCCGCATCTGCAGCGGGTACGCCATGCGAACGCAGTCCCTGGAGCCTTTTTGGGAGCTTCTTATATGGCCACGAAGCGTGTGATGGGTGTGCCGAATAGGGCGCGGTTACGCCATGCGAGCGCAGCCCGTTCGTGCCTTCGCTGGAGCGCCCTAAGGGGACCCGAAACGTGAGAGGGGTATGCCGAATCCGGGACGTGCACGCCATGCGAACGCAGCCACTGGGGCTTTCGGTGGAGCTCCCTACGGGGCCACGAAGTGTGTGGAGGGGGGGCTGTGCCGAATCGGCGGCGGGTACGTCATGTAAACACAGCCACTGTGGGGCGCTATACGAGGCCACGAGAAATGTGAGTGGCGTGCGAAAGCAGGTGGGGCACGCCATGCGAATGCAGCCATCGGGGCCTTCGGTGGAGTTTCCCTCTGGGGCCACGAAATGTGTGAGGGGCGTGTCGGATCGGGTGCGGGGCCTTCGGTGGACCGCCCTAGGGGACACAACACTTGTGAGGGGTATGCCGAATATGCGGCGGGTACGCTACGCGAACGCAACCACTGTGACTTTCGGAAGAGCTCCAGATGGGGGCACGAAGTGTGTGAGGGGTGTGCCGGATCGGGTGCGGGTGCGCCATGCGAGCGCAGCCATTGGGGCTGATGGCGGAACTTTTTATGGGGCCACGAGACGTGTGGGGGATGTACCGCATCGGGGGCGGGTACGCCATGCGAGCGCAGCCATTGGCGTCTCTGGTAGAGCGCCCCACGGGGCCACGACACGCGCGAGAGGTGTGCCGAATCAAGGGCGTGAGCGCCATGCGAACGCAGCTTCTGGGGCTTTCGGTGGAGTTTCCTCCTGAAGGACACGACACGTGTGTGAGGGGTGTGCCGAATCGGCGGCGGGTACGCCATGCGAGCGCAGCCTCTGGGGCCTTCGGCAGAGCCCCTTACGGGGACACGAAACGTTTAACGGGTGGACCAATTCAGAGGTGGGGGCGCCATGCAAACGTAGCCTTTGGGGCTTTCGGTGGAGTTTCCCTCTGGGACCACGAAGCGTTTGAGCGGAGTGCAAAAATGAGCGCGTGGATGGAAGGTGGCCGGAGGAGGAGGAGGAGGAGGTGCAGGAGCAGGAGCAGGAGGAGGAGGAGGAGGAGGAGGAGAAGCAGGAGGAGCAAGAGGAGCAGGAGGAGGAGGAGGGAGGAAAAGGCAGGATAGGGGAGGAGAGGAGGAGGAGGATAGGAAGAGGAGAGGAGGACGCGGGGCGCTGTCTCGTCGAAGCGAGGACCCAACACCACAGGATGGTTTGCAAAAGCGATGTTTCGCAGGCTGGCCGGTTTCTCAGCAATCGGTCCAGCGGATCCTAGCAGGCCAGTCGGGCGGGCGGATCTTGACGGGCGATCCGGGCGGGCGGACGGGGCCCGCGCCGGGGTGCGCCGCCGGCAGGGCGCAGACGACGCCGACGTGAAAAAGCAGATAGAGGCCCGTCCGTGCCATAGTCGTCGTCCTCCCCGAGGAGGAGGATACAAGGATACAAGACATAGAGGCGCCAGCGAGTCTCCCGCCAGCACTCTGAAACTACGTGAGAGCTACGGCGCAACCCTTTGGGCGCGCCTGGCAATCTCCAAATGAAGCGATCTCTCCAGGTTTCGGGTGCTTTCCCGCGAGGGTATTGGCGAGGAGCCTCTTCGGGCCCCTTCTCCAAGTGTCCTTTGCAAAGTTTCTACGGGAGAGGCCCCAGCCTCTTCGAACAAGAAGCCCCACATCTCCAACAAAGCATGTGCGGCCCTTTGCGCCGCACTCTGTGGCCAAGAGGTGCGAAACAATTCTCACCCTGCCCCGTCGCCGTCGCCCCCTCCGAGGCATTCGCACGGGCCTCAAGATCCCCAGGTCCCGGACCGGCCACGCGCTCCGATGCAGACGCCGCCACAAGCGCCGTATTGATGGGCTCAGGACGGAGGACGGAACGAGCCTCTTGAAATTTCACCTCAGGGCCGAAGCCCATCATATTGATACGGCAAACCTGAAGCGGCGTGGGAATACATGATTTGCCTGACCCATTGGTGAGGTGTTTTTCAGTCGCGAGAGTCCGAGATTGGGCCAGGCATTTTCAACAAACCAATTAACCAGGTTACAAGCGCAAAACATAGTGTTCCTGGAACCCGACCCGAGAAGCTTACAGGGTAGTGACCCGCGAGCAGACGCGTTACACTTGCACTCGCGAGCGCGAGCCGAGATTTGCTCCTCGATCCTGTCTCTCTCCTCTCCCTCTCTCTCTTTCTCTTCCTGGACTCATCAGTCCGAGCACCAGCCCATCCAAGGGACTTCGCATGGCTTCTGTACAGCTGTAATTCCCCAGCGGCATTCTGAACCCCAGCATTGGTTGTTTTATGTTCATTGGCCGCCGGCGCGTAACAAAAAAACAGCCCAACTAAAACCTGTTTGCCAGTTTGGAGGTTTCTCAGGGTGAGCCTCCAGAAAATTACACATGCCTAGAATGAGCAGGGGCCCATGCAAAAGATGGAGGGCTCCGAACGGGGCTTGCACACGCCAACGATCTGACGCCAGACCGAGCCGTAGGATCCTCTTGAGGCCCCAAGGCTGGGATTCCAGTCCTTGCCCCTCCCGAGCGAACCCCAGGAGATCCGAAACCAGAACCTCGATTTCAGTCGGCGGCGAGCGAGGGGGGGGGAGTGAGAAGGGGCGTGCCCTCTCAGAAGGCTCGGAAGTCCCCTGGCCCCCTGAGAAGTTCTCTGAGCTCTTCCCGAAGACCCAGAGCACTTCTCGGAAGGCCCGAGGGCTTTTGATCGGAATCTTGAGCATATGCACTTTCAGTGGCGGGCGGTTTTTCAATTCCAGGACTTTTTCGAGGTTCGGGGACGACGTCGGGTTGGTGTGGTGTATACTTGTTTCCCCGTTTTCCGGGGGGAAACAACGAAGAATGCATACACCAGGATCCCGTATACACCAGGATCCGCTTACCCATGCGAGATCCAGCGTGAGGCCAGACAAAGGCGTCGGTGTATAGAGTTCGGTTCCCTATTTGAGAAGCCACGCCACCTACTGGGAAGGCTTTCTTCTTCTCATGTCCCCCCCTCGCTCGCCGCCGATGCAGGAAGGTGCTGCAGGGCTCTGAGCAACGCAGTCAGTTCGGCCATACCGACCGTCTGGACGGGGCCCTGGGAGCGGCCCACAGCGGGCTCTGACTGGCGAGAATCCCGTCGCTCCCCAGCTGAACCACCGCCCACCCACATCTTCGGTTCTTCCTCCTCCTCCTCTTCCTCCTCCTCACTGGCGTGACCTATTCCCTCTCGCACGACTCGATTGTCATGACTCGCACGGCTATGCGTTATTCCAGTACCCGCCATCCGCCAACAAATGGAGAAAGGCGCCGCCAACGTTGGTCGCGCACCCAAACAATAGAGGCTGAGTGGCACCCATTGTCCAGGCACTGTGCAATCCTGATCCGTCTGTGAAGGCATCGCGGGGCCAAGAGCTGGGGCAAGACTTCCAGTCTCCCCAGAGAGAAGACGGCACTGATTCGTGGTGCGGCGAGGCCAGCCTCATGGGAGCTTGCGGGAGGCCGAGGCAGCGGTCTGTCGTGTCCCAGCTCCCGTTGCCAACGACGTCCACGGCACTCTCGCCGAGGTAATTCCTGACTCGGCTCATCTCATCGTTCCACTCGGGCAGCCCCGTCGCGGTCCGAGCCTCCATCAAGAAATCGGCATCGAGCCCAGGGGGGGAGTGAGAAGGAGAAGGCCTTCTCAGAAGGCTCGGAAGCCCCCTGGCCTTCCGAGAAATTCTCTAAGCCTTCCCCGAAGACACAGAACGCTTCACAGAAGGCCCGAGGCCTTTGAGACGTTCCGCCGCCTACTGGGAAGGCCTTCTCCTTCCATTCCCCCCCCCTCGCTCGCCGCCGTCGAACGGATATGCATACATCATGTGCCCCAGCGTCCCGTGCGCCTGCTTGGCGTGGCACTCGGGGTGAGGACAGATCGGCGACTTCAGCAGTGTCCTCTCATGCCTCTTGGCCACCGTCAGGTAGCCTCCTGATCAGAGCGATCTGAGCAGCCGTGCTAGCTGTGGCTGCTTGACCACACCGTCCATCCGCCCCACCTCAAGCGGAATGTGGCACGGGTCCAGATCGCCTCGTTGCCGTCGAGCTTTTCAGAGATGTGTTCGCAGATCTGGCGGCCTTGCCACCATCTCCCATCCTCCTGAAGTTCGGATGCAACTCCTGGGAGGTCAGATTCTGAGTGTGCCCTGGTCCGAAATCCAGCTTGATCCGGCTTAATCTCGACTAATATGGTTCCATCCCGCTTAATCCGGCTTGATCCCGCTCGATCCGCGGCCCAGTGTCCAGCGCAAAACCCCCCCAGTGGGGCTCAGTTCCCCCTCACCTGTTCCGACGACGTCGCCTTCGGCGAGAAGCCCGCCGCCCTCGTCGCCTGTGAAGACCGTGCTGCTCGCCGTACTCTCCAGCCGACCCTGCGTACGCTATAAGCCTTGTGGACGATGATCAGTGGAGAGGAATCGGCGGCGAGCGAGGGGGGGAATTGAGAAGGGGCGGGCCTTCTCAGAAGGCTCGGAAGTCCCCCAGCCTTCTGAGAAGTTTCCTGAGTCTTCCCTGAAGGCACAGAAAACTTCTTAGAAGGCGCGAGGGCTTCTGAGAAGTCCCGCCGCCTTTGAGAAGGCCTTCTCCTTCTCACTTCCCCCCTCGCTCGCCGCCGAAGGAAGAACGTTGCCAAGTCATTGCCAGATGCCTGAAAATGGTCGAAGCATGTCTTAAACATTGTTAAGACTGTTTTCAGCAGGTTTGGAACACGTTCCGGCATTCTAAAAAAAAACATTGCCAGCTCAGTGGTAGGATTGTGAGGGGGCGAATTGGCATGGCATCCGCAATGCAGGCCAGCAGGGCGCCAGCGGCCCCCGCACGACGATCCCTCCGAGGCGGCGCCTGTGCAGCGCCCAACTTCTCTGCCGGCACTCTCGCCGAGCGCGCGCCAGCCAGCCCATCGGGAGCGTTCCAGAGAGGGCCTCGCTTTCCAGGACAGGATTGCGTCGGGCATGTCCCTCTACAGGAGGAATATTCGAGCATAGTCAAAAAAACAAATAGTCTGGGGACGATTGTTTGATTATGCTTGACCATATTTGAATCTGTGTTGCCTATTTTCTGTTGCTCTTCGAACTAAGGATAGAAGGAGATGTCATCTCTTCCTCGGCGGAAAGCGGCGGAAGTAAAACGAGGCCGCCTCCGCCGGCGGGAGCTGGCGGCAGGTTAGCGGAAGGCGGCGGAAGTAACAGGTGCACCCCGGAGATGAAGACGTTTTCGGGTTGGGGTGTCCTGGAATTTGCCATCTGAAGCCGCTGGTCCCACACGAAGCACGTGCAGATGGTGGTGATCCCCAGCGCGGCCTCCAAGATGTGGTGGTCGATGTGCTCGTCGTGCTGCGAGGCTAGGGACGCTGGGATGCTCACCCCGCCCGACTTTGCTCCGCACACCGCCGCCGCCGCCAGCCTCAACTCCTGGAGGTCGGGACCAGGGATGCTAGCGGCAGCCTTAAGTCGGGCATGTCCCTCTACAGGAGGAATATTCAAGAATAGTCAAATAATTGTCTGGGGACGATTGTTGTGCTATTTTGACTGTTCTAGAGTGTGTTTCGACGACTACTTCGAATTCTTCCTCCAAAATCCCCCCGTAGGAGGACACGCCCGACCTAACGACAGCCGGACCACGTGCAGCAGACGGCGCCAGCCCTGATCGCCACAGCGCCTGGACCTTCGCGCTGGCCGTACTGCGCGGCAGCGTCCCTCTCGGCGTGCGCTCCTTCGGCTTGTCAAGCCGCGCCTTTGCCACCAGGCGTTCCGCGCGCCCCTGCAGTGAGAGTTTGTGCCAAGAAACACCCTGCCCGCGTGCCTCAAAGGGTACCCTGCAGTTTCTTGGGTTTCGATGGTTCTGCCATGGAAAGCGTGACGTTCCCAAACCAAAGACCGATGGACGTCCTGGGGTCTCAGGATGTTTTTTTGTTTGGAGGTTTCCTGTGGCCGGGCCTTTACTGTAAGTAGAGGTCGTGCCCCCAGTTGCGGATCGCCTTCTGAGATCGATGCGCAGCATCCTGGCCCAGGGACTGAACGCTGTGCCAGCGGCCTTCCTTTGATGCAGGCGCATCCCGTTTTCGACGGCTGCACGACGGGCCCTCGTCCAGGAGCTTCCTTGGTGAAGGTCCTCGTGGCCAAGACGGGCTCCTTGGTGCGAGACAGCTCAGCGCCACTCCAGTGCAGCGTTGCATCGTCCACCAGGGCACGCGATGTGACGGACCTGCGCACGCTCCACGTTTGTACGAGCGTCCTGTACATCAGCGCCGTCAGGAGCGTGGTCGCGTGCGTGTAACCTGGCAGGATCTAAGAGGATAGTTGACCGCCCAAGCCTCCTCGAACAACTGCTGCAGCAACACCATGTCGACGCACACCTACATGTCTATCATGACCGATATCGAATGCTCGCCCGACAAGTTCGTGTCCTCAGCAGCCGCGCTGTGGGCAAATGCTGAGTGCACCGACTGGAAGAGGGGTCGCCTCATTCTCGCCCGTTCTCGGATACACGGGTGGATGAGTGCCAGCAGGCGAGCGTCTCCCATTTTCTTCGGATCCCGGAATGCGAACCATTTCAGCATACATGCGACCACCCGGCTCGAGCAGCAGCACGTGCGACTTGCGGCGTGCGACGTGCAACGGCGACGGCGACGGCGACGACGGCGGTGGCGACGACGACGGCGAAGGCGACGGCGACGGCGACGGCGACGACGGCCGCGGCGGCGGCGATTTACGACGGCGACGGCGGTGGCGACGGCGACGGCGAGGGCGAGGGCGGCGGCGGCGACAGCGACGGCGACGGCGACGACGAGGGCGACGGCAACGGCGACGACGACGGCGGCGACGGCGGCGACAACGACGGCGGCGGCGACAGCGACGGCGACAACGACGACGACGACGACGGCGAGGGCGGCGACGACGACGACGACGGCGACGGCGACGGCGACGGCGACGGCGACGGTGGCGACGGCGACGACGACAGCGGCGGCGGCGGCGGCGACAGCGACGGCGGCGGCGACAACGACGACGGCGGCGGCGACGACGGCGACGGCGGCGACGACGATGACGACGACGGCGACGGCGACGGCGACGGCGACGGCGACGGCGACGGCGACGGCGACGACGGGCGGTGGCGGCGACGACGACGACGGCGGCGACGACGACGACGGCGACGACGACGGCGACGACGACCGCGACGACGACGACGACGACGGCGACGGCGGCGGCGGCGACGGCGGCGGCGACAGCGACGGCGAAAACGACGACGACGGCGACGGCGGCGGCGACGACGACGGCGACGGCGACGTGCGACGTGCGACGTGCGAGGGCGACGGCGACGGCGACGGCGACGACGGCGACGACGACGGCGACGGCGACGGTCAAAGCGACGGCGGCGGCGGCGACGACGGCAACGACGGCGACGGAGGCGGCGACGGCGACGGCGACGGCGACGGTGACGGCGGCGACGGCGACGGCGAAGGCGGCGGCGGCGACGGCGTCGTTGACGGCGACGGCGACAGCGACGGCGACGATGACGACGACGATGACGACGGCGACGGCGGCGACGACAACGACGACGGCGACGGCGACGGCGACGGCGACGGCGACGGCGACGGACGACGTGCGTCGTGCGACGGCGACGGCGACGGCCACGGCGACGGTGACGGCGACGGCGGCGACAACGACGGTGGCGGCGACGGTGACGACGATGGCGACGGCGGCGACGACGACGACGACGGCGTCGGCGTCGGCGGCGACGGCGACGGCGACGGCGACGACGAGGGCGACGGCGACGGCGACGGCGACGGCGACGGCGACGGCGACGACGGTAACGACGACGACGACGACGACGACGACGACGACGACGACGACGACGACGACGACGACGACGTAGGCGACGGCGACTGCGACGGCGCTGGCCACGGCGACGACGAGGGCGACGGCGACGGCGACGGCTACGGTGACGTTGAGGCGACGGCGGCGACGGTGATGACAACGACGACGACGGAGGCAGCGGCGGCGGCGCCGGCGGCGGCCGACGACGGCGGTGGCGGCGATGGCGGCGACGTCCACGCGCTGCTCCCACCCCACCACCAGGCAAGAGGTAGGCCCTGCCCTCCACACGAGAGGACGCAAGGGGCAGAGATCTTGACGGGACGGCACTACAAGAGAGCCCGATGAGGCAGGTGGAGTTAAGTACGTGTTGATATATCAAAGAAGCACACAACCCCAGGGCATTCACTGAGCTGTCCCTACATGTGAAGCGTAAAGGTCGCCACCGTTCCGGCCGCAGTATTGTAGAGGCGCCAATCGCTTGATACCGAAATTTGCGCTGCGGCGGCACATGCCGTGAAGATCTGATTTGCTACATTTTGCCAGCCGTAGGCCGCACAGAATTAGGCCGGACCATAATTGTGTATATCTGTATGCATTTGTACACAGAATATGTCTGCACATGTATATATACACATATATGTATAACAGGGGCCAGCGGCATCCAGAGCAGGAGGGTCTCTCGTACCGAGCGCGGCCGTCGTCTGACTCGAGGCCCAGCATGCGTGACGCCTGAATTTCTAAAGGGGAGGGAAGCCCTCAAGGGCAGCCGCTTCGGAGAGGGCTGGGGGGAGGGGCTCCTCACTCGGAGGCCTCCGCGCATCCCTTTTTCGGGGTAGAACAACCACTACCGAAGACGCTGCAAAACATGAGAACAGGGAAGAGGAGGTGGAGGAGGCGGAGGAAGAGGGTGGAAGGAGAGGAGGAGGGAGGGTGAGGAGAAGGTGGGAGGGGGAGGAGGAGTAGGAGCAGCGGACGGAGGGAGGGAGGTGGGCACGGCGGAGGGCAAAGAAGGGAGGAGGAAGAAGATGGACCAGTGCAGGCCCAAGGCGCATCAACGATGTTGCAATGAACTACCCCTCCAAGTTCCCTATTCTAAGGCCCCTACACTTTGTGGCCTTGCGTGAAGTGCCCCATTGGGAAAACCCGTCCGAGAATCCCCAATCTTTCCAAAACGGAACTCTTGGGACTTCAACGGCGCGGATCAGTTTCATTGTTGCGTTCTGACGATCCTAAATCGCGCAAGAACACCATACCTGGAATTTGAACACCGTGAATCCACGTCACCGTTGCGTCTTGATACCCCGAAGTCGTGTCAGAGCACATTACTGGGACGTCAACCATACGAATCGGTCAAACTGTTGCGGACTTCAGACGAATGTGCGCGGCGCTAATGCGAGAGCCACAATTTGAAAAGGAAACGCCCTCCAACCTTGAAGCTGACGCAAAGTTTATGACGAAGGCGCGCGGCGCTCAGGCGAGAGCCATATTTTGCAAACAGCCCGCCCTCCATCCGTGACATTGGTACATCCGGCGCCGCCCCTGGCGCCGACCCAAGACATCCGCGCGGAGCTCCAACAGTTCATGGCTCTGCGGTTTGCTCTTCTTCGACCGTGGGCGCGCAGCCAGCCCGAGCCCTGCGCCGCCGGAGGTCCTGAACGACACGCTCACAGTCATCCCGGACATCGGCGGCGAAGTCCGAACCCTACCCGTGCCGATCAACGATTCGGGCAACTTGATGGGCGACGGGGGCAGAATTCGGAATCCGTCGAACACGTGGCGAGTTCCGGGCCCTGCCTTCGGTTGCAAAGCATGGGAGCCGTACGGACCTTCGTGATCTTGTATTCCGCCTTTCGGGCGCATTGGCGTCGATTAGCGTCTGGCAATCGATGAGATAGCGCCGATTTAACATCGAGTAAAGTCGATGTAGCGTCGATGTTAGCGTTGACTAGCGTCGATTCGCAAGAGCCACTCGATGGTACTGGAGGCTCCCATGGGTTGCCACCGAAACCCCGCCTCCCATCGATTCAGGGGAATCGGTGCGGGTGGGGAGCAGTGTTGGGACGTCGCCACCCAGGACACGCGCCAGCGCCTCCAGAAGTACCGCGAGGAGCTGCAGGCAAGCCCGCGCGCACACCTCTGGCAGGCGGGGGAGGGGCTCGGAGGCCCGGAGGCCACAGCAGCACCACCAAGTCAGAGTGAGGGGGCCGAACGGTCTTGCACCATGCCTCGGTGCGTGGCCGAAGTGTGATTTCGTGGCGCGGAGTCTGCGTGTTACGTTGCGTGTCCTCGTTCGCGATCCGCCCGCGCCTTCTCACTCCTATCCGCAATTGCGGGGGTTAGAGTTAAAGGCGGTGTGCCTCCGCCGAGGCAGGGTGATCCCGATCTCGGCGCTGGTCGCGGAGCAAACAATAGCACAAACAGAAACTGTTGGGGCTCCGCGCGGAATTCTCGGATCCTCGCTGGAGCCCCCCTGGCGGCGCCTACGGCGCCTCATCTTTTCGGACCCCATTTTGGAGGCCCTTGGATCCATTGCCAGATTCAATGCGACGTGCCGCCATCGCGAGAACGTCAAAGAGGGAAGAGACAACGGTGCATGAACAGCTCTCCACCGCAGCACTCTGCGATGCCAGTGCCTGGGGAGCTCGCATGCTCACAGCAGCGCGCACCTTGCGCATAATATTCAAATGCGCTCAGCGTGCATGCGCACAGATGGCGCCTTGCGTGTTCTTGACGCCAAGTACAATTGCCGCGCAGCGCGGTGCGCTGGCGAGAGCGGAATACAGGCGCTCGCATTCCGATGTTGGGCGAGGACGACTAAGGCCCAGAAGGCCGAGACCATCGCAGACGCGCCCCGCTGCATACGACCCCCGAAGAGTGCGCTGCAGCGTGCGAGCGCACGCTTTTGGACGCGGACGACGCTGCGCAGCAGACGCGAGCGGTGGAGATACCACAGCATTGCCACCGCCAAAGTACCAGACGTGCATCCCAGGGCTATCACAATCGGGTTGCTTCTGCGTGTTTGTGTGTGTGTGGGTTTGTGTTTGTGTGTGTGTGTGTGTTCGTGTGTGTGTGTGTGGTTGTGCTTGTGCTTGTGCTTGCGCTTGTGCTTGTGCTTGTGCTTGTGCTTGTCCTTGTGTGTGTGTGTGCGTCTGCGGGTGTGCGGGTGTGCGGGTGTGCGGGTGTGCGGGTGTGCGGGTGTGCGGGTGTGCGGATGTGGGGACGTGGGGCGTGGGGGCGTGGGGGCGTGGGGGCGTGGGCGTGGGGCTCGGGCTGGGGCTGGGGCTGGGCGTGACCGTGGGCCTGGGCCTGGGCCTGGGTCTGGGCCTGGGTCTCGGTCTCGGTCTCGGTCTCGGTCTCGGTCTGGGCGTGGGCATGGGCGTGGGCGTTGGCGTGGCCGTGGCCGTGGCCGTGGCCGTGGCCGTTGCCGTGGGCGCGGGCGTGGGCGTGGGCGTGTGGGTGGGGGTGGGGGGGCAAGCCGTCTCGCTCACTCCCACCCGCCCTCTCAACACATACGCAGCACCCGAGGCTGGCCCGCCCGAGGCAGCTCGAATGAGCCAGAGGGTTCCGTCCACTCCCACCCGCCCTCCCACAACACAAGAAGCAAGTGCGTCGCGTCCGACGCTTGTCGCTCATCTTATATCGCGGGTGGCTTCACGTTTAGCGCGCGCCATGAGTTGCGTCCTACTGCTGCCGCGTATTGAGCAACGTCGACGGGAAACAAGACCGGGCGCGATGTACGCCGCGCCCCGCTCCGGCCTGTCATGTTGCATCGTCGGCGGCAACATGTCCAGCGCGCGAAGTGCGCCGCGTCTCATTCCAGCCACGCGCGTCGCACCGCCAATCGTTTCGCTCCTGCCGCGCATGGAAGAGGGGGAGGAGGAGGAGGAGGAGGAGGGGAAGGAGAGAGGGAAGGAGGGAGAAACTGAGGAGGACGAGGAGAATGCATCTTGGGAATGTGCGGTGCGTCTTGGGAGTTTTCTGGGATACGCCTGAGGGCTTCTTGGAGATATCTTCCGGGTTGGAACAGCGTCAACACAAATAGGCGTTAACCTCACAATTTTTCAAACACCAAATGAAAATCAATATTTGCGTTGCCCCCCCCAGGACCTCCTGAACGTTACCTCTTGGGGGTCCCCTGTAGCACTTGCTTGAACCGCGCTTGCTTGACTGCATTATGACTCGCCGCCCGCCCACCTCCTCAACCCGACGGGCCGCAGCGTCGACGACAAAAAAACCCACGCTGACGAGCAGGCGTCCCCGCGCGATGTGCGCCGCGTCCCGTTCCTGCTAAGCGATTCGCAGCGCCGACGAGGAGAAAGTACACGTTGGCTAGAACAACGTCGATGTTGCTGTGTTTTTTGACAGTAGGACGCGGGGTCCCGCGTAGGATTGGCCAGGCGTCCGCGCGCGATGTGCGCCGCGTCCCATTCCTGTTGCACTGTTCGCAGCGTCGACGATAAGAAAGTCCATGTTGAAGAGGGAAACGTTGACTTTGTATTGTTTGTTGATGGGTAGGACGCGACCTCCCGCTTCCGGTCACCCAAACGGTGTTCATTCCGTCCCATTCTTGCTACACGGCTCGCAACTCGACGACACGCTGGCGAGAACAAAGTTGAGTTCGTCTTGTTTTTTGACCGTTAGGACGGCGGGTTTGCTATCGGCCGGCTAGGTGGGGACGTGGGGTATTTATCATAAAAGTAAGGATGGGGGTGTGGGTGTGGGTGCGTGTGTGTGTGTGTGCGCGTGTGTGTGTGTGTGTTGAAGGCGCTAGCTCCGGGTTGATATTACCATGAGGTTGTCCCAATAGGCGTTGCCTGTGTGAGTTTCACGCAGTATCACATATTCCGCATGCGCACACCGTACGAGCATCTATACATGCAACCACGTACGCAGTCATTCATAACCACAGGCACTCACGCTCTTGCCCTTGCACGTGCGCGAACACGTGCACCTAGCTGCACACACGTTCATACGTTCATGCACTTGACACAGGTATTCTGCGCAAGTGATGCATGACAGGGAGAAGCATGCACACGTAGAAGTCTTCCATCCCAGGTACGCGTTCATGGTTGTGAGGTTGTTTAGTGTTTCTGTGCCAATGGTAGTCGTGTCCAAGAGCTCAGGTGTGGTGCCCAGCGCCGTTGGTCGGCGGCCCACGGTGCGAGCGGGCGGAGCCCGAGCTTGCGGTTCGAGGATACGCAGAGTGCCGCCAGCTGCCCCCTGCTTACAAAACTATTGAACGTCCGTGGGAGGAGCAGGAGGAGGTGGAGGAGGAGGAGCAGGAGGAGGAGGACGGGAGGGATAATTACAGGAGGGAGGAGGAGGAGAAGGAGGAGGAGGAGGAGGGAGAAGAATAATAATAGTGAGGCGAGGTGGAATCACGGAGGAGCGGAAGGGACGAGGGAGGATGGAGGAGGATGGTGAAGAGAGAGCAGGGGAAGATGCAGGAGGAGGAGGAGGAGCAGCAGGGAGGGAGGGGGAGGAAAACGAGGATGAAGAGCCAATAGAGCCTAGGGATGTGCTCTCTCGGTGTGCGCCTGGAGAGAGAACTAGCAGTGTCCAGAGAGCCGTGCCCGACGGGCGCCTTTAGTCTGCTCACGCGGTTGCCGCAGCCCCCCCGCAGCGACGCCCAACAAAATCAGCGTCCGTCCCTGAGCTGGCGCTGACCTGGACCTGCCACTCCTGCCACTCCGCCGTACTCAGCAGCGATGGCACCTTGTCGTCGAGTTAGCCCTAACCCCCCTAATATCATTATGAGGACGTGGCCTCACTGAGGACCCCGTCTTCGCATTGGGGATGATACTTCTGGGCGGTTTGGTTCGATACATCCGCAGAAAAAGGAGCCCCTATCCCTAATTGTCTTGGCCCTCCTAACTTAGGTCCCCTTCCAAAGGGTTAGGGGCTTGTTCTGCTCAATCACCTCGAGCGTGGAGTCGGTGACCCGTGCCTTTGCGGCTCGGCCAGCCTCGGGGCTGGCGAGCACGGGCGGCTGCGGAGGTCCGCCAGGGCACACCTCCCGCAGCTTGGTCCGAGCAGATCTTCGTGCTCTGGCTGCAGCGGCCGCGCCACGCGACGTCTGCCGTGCGCCAGAGGCGGTGCCCGCGGCTGCCACAGGGAAACAAGCAAGGGTATAAACATCAGAACTCGGAGGGCCGCGCGGAAATGTCTCGGATCGGCGCTGGACCCCCCTGGCGGCGCCTCTGGCGCCGTCCCTGGCGCGTTCCGCGCGCCAGGGAGGGGGTGCAGCGCCGATCCGAGAAAGTTCCGCGCGGCCCTCCGAGTTCTTATGTTTACACCCTTGTTCGTTCCCTTTTATTTCAGCCCCGGCGCTGGTCCGTGGCGAGGCGGGTGACTGCGTATGTCCAGGGCAGCGCTCCTCCTCTCACGCGCTGTGCGCCGCAGCGCCGGCACCAACCAGCCTCCGCCCGCTGCTCGGGGGTGGCTCTGAGAAAGACGTGCTGCTCGGCTGGCTCCCCGGGACGAGCTCCAGCAGCGGCGGCCTCGAGCAGGAGTGGGCATTTTGCGGGAATGTCCCGCGGAGGGGGGGGCTGGTGCCCTGGTGTGTGTGTGTGTGTGTGTGAGTCTGTGTGTGTTTTTGTGTGTGTGAGAGTGTGTCTGTGTGCGTTTGTGTGTGTGTGTTTTTGTGTGTGTGTTTGCGTTTGCGTTTGCGTTTGCGATTGCGATTGCGTTTGCGTTTGCGTTTGCGTTTGCGTTTGCGTTTGCGTTTACGCTTGTGCTTGTGCTTGTGCTTGCGTTTGCGTTTGTGCTTGTGCTTGTGCTTGTGATTGTGTTTGTGTTTGTGTTCGTGTTCGTGCTTGTGTTTGTGTTTGTGTTCGTGTTCGTATTCGTGTGTGTGTGTTTGTGTTTGTGTTTGTGGTTGTGTGTGTGCTTGTGTTTGTGTTTGTGCTTGTGTTTGTGTTTGTGTTTGTGTTTGTGTTTGTGTTTGTGTTTGTGTGTGTGAGTTCGCGGGAAACATCTGTTTGCGGCAGTTCGGTGCACCAACGGATCGAGCTCATGCCCTTCCCCTCAGGGTCACCCTCCTTTGGTGGATCCCAGCCCGAGGCCGAGGTCTTCGATGCGGCGCCAGACGGCCATCCGCAGGTCGACATCGGGCCTGTCTGCGCACACGCACCAGAGCCGACCAGCCGCTGTGCCATCAAAAATGCTTTGCATGTCGATGTGGAACACAATCGGCGGCACCGCATGCACCAGCGTGCGCTCAACGGCCTGTAACTCGGCACGAGCAATGCTGCGCTGTACGCGGGGGTCGGCGTGTTGCGCAACAGTGGTTGTATAGCATGCACCGCCGCAGACTTTCTTTTGCACAGGGCCTGCGCCTGCCATGCAACATCATGTCTACACATCGTGGGAATGCGCGCGCTGTAGCAGTGCCGGGCTGCACATCAGCATGGTTTCGTGCACGTCCGCGCATGTTTGAGGGTTATAGTTTCACGAGTTGCGTGTGGCGTATTGCTTTATGCAGTCAGAGGTCTAGTGGTTCCGTCAATGGTTCTTTAAAGTCACATGCAGTTAGCCCGCAGTATAGCACATCCATCGTGTACAGGTTGCGTTACGCATGCACTCTGTGAGTGTGTAGCCATAAGTTGTTAGTTGTGCGCGATGGGTTCTGCCAATGGTGGTTTCACTTGGCCGAACAACCATACATTGTGCACTCAGGGTTGTTACTACGGTGAGTAGCGCGTGCTTGCCACGAAGAACGGCTCCCTTGCGAGTGCGCGTCGCATTCGTACGACAGATGATCGTATTGAAATAAGTTCGCGCTACGCTCCAATTGTGCATGTTTGATTATGGTTAGCCGTAATGTGCAGGCGGCCCAACAGGCAGAAACGTATGCAGGGCCCCTCTTGCTTGTGATATGGGCTTGATTGGGGTACGCTTGTAAACTTGCATGCCTGGCATGACCAACGTAAACATCCATGGAGTCATGCTGAGGCTCTGATTTGAGCTTTTGAGGAGCTCTTTAGGCCATGTTGGAGCCATCGTCGAGGCCACAGATCAGCACCAGGGAGTGGCCCCAACATAGCACAGGTATCATGGAACCTGACAGATCCTCTTGAAGGGCCGTCTAAAGATCTCGGGGTGTTCAGGGATGGTGTCGTTAAAGCTGTGTCGGGCCTTCTAGGCCCCTGTCGCGGCAGTTTTTAGGGATCGGAATCCCGTCCGAAGTGGAAATGCGAAAGGGCAAACCAAATTAAACAACCATTGGTGGTTGAATCAGTTTAGCCTCTTGGGGGCATCTTCGGGAGGCTCCGTGGCCACCTCGGGCCAGTGTGTGATGGTGCTGGCACCCCTCCAGCCATCTTGATCCAAATTGAACTTTCTGGCGCCATCTTCGAGGCCATGGTGGGCTATCTGGGGCCATTCAGGGCCAACGCGTACGCTTGAATCCCTCGAGAACCAATGGTCCAGAACCCTGGGGAGGGGCAAGGGTAGAGGGGAAATGCATCCCCGCGGGTATTCGCGGGGGTGGAACACTGAATTCCTCAAACCGCCTGCGCCTACAGTGGAGACCCATGCCAAGAAACACCCTACTTGCCTCCAGGGTGGCCTGGGTGCCCTCGGTTTCGATGGTTCTGCCATGGAAAACGTGACGTTCCCGCGCCAAAAATCCATGGACGCCCTGAGGTCTCAGGGTTGGGTTTCTCGTGGAAGGTTTCTTGTGGACTAGCCTCCACTGTACGGCAGATTCGCGTCGTGCCGACCAGCGGCGACCTCACCGCATGCGTTTACGGTTGAACGCCGCCCTCGGCCCATTTGGAACGATCGGGCGATCGAAGAGCCGCCGATCGTTCAAGGTTGAACGATCCACGCGGTGTCGAAAGCCAACGCCGGGTTCGACACGACGCGAACTTGCCGTACAGTCGGCCCGGATTAGCAGGTCGACCCTGCCAAGTCAAGGGTACCCGTGAGTCCTGTGCCTCGCGGCCCGTGCCTTCTCGCACTCCTATGGCGATGTGGTCCCCGGAAGGGTCTCGCGTCCTCTCGCGTGTCCTCTCCAATTAAGTCCGACTGTAGGAATGTGCGCTGACATCGCAGGCGCCCGCCGCGCCCTTTATCGGGGGCGGCAAAGAGGGGGGTGATGACTAGGGGGGGGTGGATATCATGGCGGGGGCCGTGATATTTTCCCAGATATCATTGCGCTTCTTCTTATTCCATTACGTCCCTGGCCCCCCCGCTGGGCCGCGCACATGCCGCCGGTCATGATTTGCGCCCCCCCCTCTTGGATACCCCTCTCTTGGCCGCTCCCGACTTTAGGCCTTCATCGCCGAGCACTACCCGGACGTGGTCGACGAGGAGGCACCCGGCGTGCGCTCCCATCATCGTGGGCCTCTCCAGGGCTCCTCGATTTGCTGGGCCCCCGCGCTGCGGGGCGCCCTGCACCAAGCATGGTTCAGGAGGGAACAAAAAACACACAGACACAATTAATCGTCGATTCCCAGAAAATATGGGAAAATATGGGAAGGGGGGGGGAAGACAAAAACACAGAAAATATGGGAAACTATGGGGAATCTTTTTATTTGTGTGTATTTATTTGTGCGTCCCAGGGCCCCTTCAATGGTGTTTCACTTGGCATCGCTTGAACGTGTGCATTGCGAGGGCCATCGAGGAGCATGCTGCTCACCTTGGGAAAAAAACACGCGCACGACACCGAAAAATGCACAGGGAATGGGCGTCCGAGCGATGGCGAGTTCACCCCCACCCCCCAGGGCTCATTTCGATTCCTCCGATTCGATTCGATGTCGATCGCCTCCGATTCCGAGTCGGCTCGGCTTCGGATTCCGATCTGAGCTCCGATGTTTCAACGGAGGCCTGCCAGCCTGCCGATCTCCGCCGATTCGACTTCTCCCGACTCGGCTGCCGATTTCCGCCGATCCGATTCATGTCGATCGCCGATCCGATTTGTCGATTCGATTCTGGGCTCTCCTGCCCCCCAGCGCGGAGAGGTGCCTCCCGACGCGGTGGGATGGGCCCACAACCCCCTTGCGCTCTCGGACGGAAGACCTTGAGCCCACGGCGTGCCTGCAGGGCGGAGTCCAGCCACTTCCACCATGACGAGCCGAGCACCGTCGGCACCGCTCGTAAGGATGATCCGCTCCCCAGGGGTGCCCCTGCATCCTGGCCTCTCCGGTCATCTTCGGTCCATCCTCGACCACGCTCGATGGCCAGCCCCGCTCGAAGAGCTTCGGCATGGGCGCCCAAGGCCCTTGCATCCTGTGCAGTCGGAGTCGATTTGAGAAAGCACGCGAGAGGACACAAGACCCTCCCGAGGGCCACCTTCCCATAGGAATGCAGAAGGCATGGGTCGCGAAACGGCGGGGTCGACCTACGAATCAGGCTCGACTGCATCGCGCATCCTCGCTATTGGTTTTGACTGCAGCGCTGCCAGGCCATGTGCACGGCGCCGCGCAAAATGGCACGCGGGTCGGCCCAGAGGGCCACGAATCACGGGCCTGTTTTCCACCACCACCACCACCACCATAAGTTGGAGGGGTGAGGGAGCTGGAGGATGAGGAGGAGGACGAAGAGGAGGTGGAGGAGGAGGAGGAGGAGGAGGAGGAGGAGGAGGACGAGGAGGACCCCCTCCCCCTCCTACTTAAGTTGGCGGTGGCAAATAAGCCCACCAACGATCAAATGCCACGGGTGGGGACCCCGAAGCGCCAGGCAGCGGGCCTGCCGCCTCCCGGGCACCCAGCGCACTGTGTTTGTCGGACCTCTCTCCGCTTGTGACGGCAGCATTTGTCCCCCCCTTGGTAACTTCTCGTTGCGAGCCCGGGGGGGAAGTGAAGAGGGGGGCATCCTTCTCCTCCTCCTCTTCCTCCTCCTCTTCCTCCTCCTCTTCCTCCTCCTCCTCTTCCTCCTCCTCCGTCCTCCTCCTCCTCCGTCCTCCTCCTCCTCCTCCTCCTCCTCCTCCTCCTCCGTCCTCCTCTTCCTCCTCCTCCGTCCTCCTCCTCCTCCTCTTCCTCTCCGCCTCCTCCTCTTCCTCCTCCTTCTCCTCCTCCTCCCCCTCCAGCGTTGTTTCGTCCCTCCCAAGGGTACAGCCAGACCGAGTTATAAGATCGAGGTCGGTTCGAGGAGGGTACCCTAATGTTCTTCGTGTTTGTTGGACGTTTTGTGCATCCTGGTGATGGTGTGTGTGTGTGTTTTGGCCAGCGGAAGGTCTCAGATTCTTGAAGGATGCTCTTCTGTCCTGGGTTCGACTGTAACGTTCGCTACCAGGGCCACCCCGGTAACGCGAACGATCGCACCAGGAGCGGGGCTTGGACCTCCCCCTCATGCATGTAGTGTGTTGCACAGGCGATTCATGCGCCAGTGGCGCGGAAGCACCCTGGCGAGTGCACGCCGCGGCCCCCGTGACCGTCATCCTCCCGCCCGCCCCCCCCACCCTGGGTAACAACCGACCGTTGCCGGGGCAGGAGGGCGCAGCCGTGCCCTCCCGCCGCTGGGCTGCGCCACTCGGCCGGCGCGCCCCTCTGCCCCACCGCCCGCCTGTCTTCTTGGCGCGCCAGTCCGCGGACGCCACGAAGATGCAGGTCCTCGAGAGCCGGAAGCTGGTCGCGGAGGTGGCGAGCTCGTTAGGCTCGGCATGCTCCCTCGCGTCGTCGTCGTCGTTGTCGTGGTCGTGGTCGTTGTCGAGGTCGTCGTTAGGCTCGGCATGCTCGTTAGGCTCGGCATGCTCCCTCGCGTCGTGAAGACATGACGACGGACGTAAACGTAATCGGAAGGGGCTAGGACTAGGATAATATCCGTTTCAGAGCGTTCCGGAATGCTCTCAGAGCGTTCCGGAACGCTCTGAGAAGGCCGCGGCGCCCGAGTTATTTCTTAGATCCCCGGATCTCAGAGATTCTCGATCTATCCTCACCCGAATTTATCCTCTTCCTGACAGAGAACGACAGAGACAGCCCGCGCGCAAGAGTCCACACGAGGGGACTAGTCGGGGTGGGAGCATTACATATGCAATGTGGTGAAACATTGGAATATTCAAGTTCTGGTAAAAGACAAGAATCCAGCCTCAAGGCGCTTTCGCTCAGCAGTTGAGGCGATACTGAACCATGCTGGATGGTTTGTGTACTTCACAATGTCACCCGCCCACCGAGTCCTTGGCCGGGCTCGTTGTCGATGGGCAGAAACATCTAGAGACAATCATCGATCACAGGTCAGCGCTTTGCAACCCCATTTCCATGGCTCCTCGGCCGCTTTGGCAGCCCAGCGCCACTTCCTTTGTCGACGTATGGTACCCCAATCCTGTATACCTGTTTGGTCAAGAACACGTTCTGTTTCGTGGGTGGTTCTTTTGATCTACATACCCCATGGCTTACTGACTGAGTCCGTAACCCGGCGGCGTGGTGGACGAATAATCATACGCAACATATGTTTTTGAGTACGTTTAATTCGGATCTCGAGCTCGGAAGTGAAAGCCCAATAAGCACAACCGTAAAGCACAGATTCGGTGATAGTGCCATGAAATAAACGTACCCGGTCGCGAAGCGAGTACGATCGTTGGGTAAGTTGTTCCTTCAACCTATAGAGTTGTCTCCAGCCAGCAGCTCGTCCTGGCTTCGCCTTATCTTGCGGTGGGAGCGCCAGATCGCGGCATACTGATTCGCCCGAGGGCTGGACCATCCGATGCGATCCTTCGATCCCTCTCCTGCCACGAGTGGCTGGGCGGCACCGTCCAGGACGTCTTGGGCGACTGGGGTTTCCTGAGTGTCCCAAAACTGTGCGGTGACGCACGGCGCGGTGAGGTCGTTGGAGATGATTTTGGGGCCCCGAGCTCTCTCTCTCTCTCTCTGTCTCTCGTACTTCGAGGGGATCGGCTACAGAATCGGTTTGCCCCAGAGTTGCGTTGTTTCGGTCGGGCCCACGAGAGCACGTAGAATGCTCAGTAGATCGACTACACATTCTCAGTCTTCTTCGCGCAGGCGACGGAGCAAAAAAAGAAACAAATGGGTAAATCAGTTCCACTGTCGACCCCCTGAACTCTCTCTCTCCCTCTCGGCCCCGCCCCGCGAAGGCCTCCCGGGTGACGGCGAGGACGGGCCGCCGCCGCAGCGGGAAGGGAGGCGCGGCGGGTGGGCGGGGCCGGGGCCCTGAGGAGGACCGTTCCAGGCGGCCGCAGATCTCGGGCACGCGCAGAGTGGGGCGGGAAGGAGAGGGCGGCCAGGAAAAGAGGAAGAGGAGGAGGCGGAGGGGGAGGGGGGGGGCAAGGAGGAGGATGAGGAGGAGGATGAAGGATGACGAATGAACAATGAGGGGTGAGGGGGAAGAGAAGAGGAGGGGGAGGGAGGAGGAGGAGGAGGAGGAGGAGGAGGAGAGGAGAGGAGGAGGAGGAGGAGGAGGAGGAGGAGGGGGAGGAGGAGTTGGAGGAGGATGAGGAGGAGGAGGAGGATGAGGGGGGGGAAATCCTGGTGCGGTGCTAACGATAAACCCGGGGGGGGTCGTAAAGGCTTCCTCGGGACAGCACGGCGGGGGCCATGATGTCTCCCCAGATGTCATGGCGCCTCTCCCTCTTTCGCTGCGTCCCAGGCCCCCCCCCCCCCCTGGGCCTCGCACGTGCCGCCGGCCATGATTTGCCCCCCCCCTCCTCTTGGACGCCCCTTCCACTCTCTTGGGCGCCCCCGAGTGGGGCGGGGGGAGGGGGAAGGCGAAGGGCTTCTCAGAAGCACCCCTGCTTCTCAGAAGGCGCGGGCCGTGTCTATAGGTGTAAGGTTGGCGCCTTCTTGAGAAGCAGCCTCCCTCTAAGAAGCCCTCCCCTCTTCGTTAGAACCCTTGCGTGCGCCGCCGAACTTCCAAGTCCTCGGGATTCTGTCTTTAGAGTGCATTACGTAGCGTTCGCTAGCGTGTGGACGTCGATGGAAAGGCGCAGATTTCGCCTCGATGAGCGTCGACTTAGCGTCGGTTCGCGTCGACTAGCGTCGTCTAGCGTCGACTCGCAGAATGTATGGGAGGCTCCAAGGAGTTGCCACAGAATTTCTGGGCCGCTGTTTCTCCTCAGACTTCCCTCCGCGAGCCCAGACCCCCTCGCGTCGTGACGACGTCACAACGGGAGATGGCTTGCTCTTTTGGACCCCGTGGGCCCTCGCTTGGCACTGGGACCGTCGAAAAAGCTGTCCCGGGGAATGAGCCGAGACGTTTTGCGGTCCACGTAGCGAAAAATCACGACGTCGGGGGTGAAGCCCAGTGTACTTTTCGGGCCTCGCCGCGCTTCCCCATCCTTCCGTGTGAGCGGATTCGCCAGAATCTACAAATCAGCCTCTTCTAGAACGCTCCGAGGCCTCCTCCTCCTCCTCCTCTTCCAGAGCTGGCGGATCTCAGCGATCCCCGATCGATCCTGATCCGATTTTGACCCAGTCTTGTTGCATCGTTCAGGGGACACGTCAGGGGGGGAGAGGCGCAGGGGGCATCCTTCGATAGCGTTCCCACGCTCAGATAGTTCTCACCTGTTTCTGCGCATGAGGTGCAAGTTTGATAACAGTGGTGGATTAGTTCTTGGCCTGGGGCGTAAGTGAGACCCGCCGACGGAGGCTGGCATAAAGACGATGCGCAAACTTCGTAGAGGCCTGCATCCTGATAAGAAGGGTGGGCCCGCCAATATCGACAAATTCTAGATGCCACATCCCCCCCGACCTTCGGGGTCTGGCAGTCGCAGGCTTCGGACTCCATGATTGGGTTGGTCCGTGCATAAGTTGGTCGCTTTTGCCCGACCGCGCTCAGGAATCCTTGTGAGTGAGGCGTTCCTCGGTTCCCCCTTTTCTGCCCGTGCGTACCCTCGCGCCCGCCGCCCTTCCTTGCTCTCTCGCCTCCTCGTCGTGTTTGACGGAGCGGCCTCTCGGGCCCCCCGTGCTGCCACAGCGCAGCGTGCCGCACGCCAGTACGCGCCGGTCAGTACGGTTCGAGTTGGCGCCACTGTGCGACTTCTCCTCCGTCGAGCTCAGACTGGTGCCTGCGCCCCTGCTCCTGGGTCGCTCGAATTTTCATGGGGGGCATGTTGCCTCTTGCGCGTGCACTTGCGACGTCGGCCTACGCGCCGTCGTTGCCAATTCTCTCGCCCTGCGCCCCAGCCGAGCCCGACCCGCTTCCTGGATCTGTCCTTGTGAGCCGTCAATCAAAAAGTATGCCCCCCCACCAGCCCATCTCAAACCGACGCCCAGGCGGGTTGAGACGATCATGGAAGCGTAGGAGCAAAATAGGGGACAGACGTTATCGTTCGAGGGAGGAGGAAGAATTGGAGGAGGAGGGGGAGGAGGATGGATGGATGATGATGGAGGGAGAAGGCTGATGTATTTGCAGATCAGGAGGAGCAGGAGCAGGAAGAGGAGGGCGAGCAGAAGGATAAGAGGCGATGGAGGAGGAGTAAGCAGATGTGGAGGAGGAGATGGAGGAGGCGAAGGAGGGGGAGCAGGAGGGGTAAGCGGTTGAGGAGGAAGAGGAGGAGGAAGAGGAGGAGGAGGAGGAGGAAAAGGGCGAACAGAAGAGCCAGAAGCCTCGTAGATTCCTCTCGGAGTCTTTTCGGATGTCGCTTGGAAGTTGTTTGCAAGCCTTTCGGGGCGTTGGGGGGCATCTTGGCGGGCCCGGGGCCGTTTTTGAGCGTTCGGGTGCCACGGGGATCCTCTTGAGGCCTCTTGGAGGTCTCTTGGGAGTTTCTTGGAGGCCCTTTGGGCGCCTCTTGGGGCCGCCCGGCCGCCTCTTGGGGCCCTCTTTGGGGAGTTTAGGGGCGCTCTTAGTGCCATCTTGGAAGACATCGATACAACAAGAAGGGACTTCCAATTAGGGCCCCCCTTCAAAAGCCCCAGACAGCGCCTCTTGGGGCGCTCTTGGGCGCTATTGGGGCCGTCTTGGGGCTCTCTTGGGCCCCTCGTGGGGCCGTCTTGGCCCATTTCGGAGCCATCTTGGGGCCTCGAACGGCCATCGGAAGAGAAAAGGCGAGAAGGCAAAAAACATGTATTTCCCTTAGGTTTTGGAAGGAGGTTTGTCTCTTCGGGGCCTCCTTGGGGAGCTCTTTGGCCACTTGGAGCCGTCTTGAGGCGATCTTGGGGCCTCTTGGACCATCTTGGAAGTCATTTTGAGCGATCTGGCGCTATCTTGAGCTATCTTGGAGGCCATCTTGGGCTATTTGAGGTGCGCTTGAAGCCGTGGGCCATCCTGAACGCTCCAACTACCCGCGACCAGTCCCGTCCAGGTCCAGGGGAAAGGTAAGGGGGAGGGGTAAACCACTCCCCGAAGGGGAAGAAGGGGGTTGGAAGAGGAACCTCTCTAGACTACCTATGACCCAAATGGCTGTTGGGATCCATCCCGCTGCTATGTTTACAGGTCCAGTGCTGCTCCAATTGCGCCTCCTGACGGGTGTTCGCAGAACTGCCGCAGGGGCCGTGCCGTTGCAGCCCAACAAAAAAAGCTCAGGGAGGGATGCATCGACCCCCAGGCCCCGTTGAACACCGCGGGCGACCCAGGATCGGCCGATGTTGAACGATCTGACGCGTCGGGAACGGCCGATGGTTCAAATTGGATGGACCCCCGCGGTGTGAAGCCGGCACGCCACGAGCCTGTGGTATTCGATCCGCTTTCCCACTTCGTGTTTC